GCCCTACAACCAGCAGGCTGTGTTTAGCAACCTCTCTTCACCAGGGATGCAGTTAGCAGGTTTCTCCTGGGACTGTCGTGCCTCCCCATTTCTTTTCTTTCCTATTACTGACTGGCCTGGGCTGATTAAGCCCTGCCAGACAGGAATCAATTATTTCATTTTCACCTTTCACATTTTTTACTTTCCGGTCTCTTGCACTTGGGTTCTAACAAATCACCACCTGTGCAGCTGTATTCAGATTTGACATTACACTGTAACAGTTAATGAAACAACATGTACTTCAGGTTCCTTCTTAGCTGTACATCACTTACAGAGGAATTAAGGAGGTACCCTTTAGAGAGAAAACAAGTCAATGTCAACCTTTAAAACCACTGGAAAGTTAAACCAAAGGGCAATATTCCATGTATTTAATGTTGGATACAAGATGTCATCTTGGTCTGCTGCTTAAGAAAGACTATAATCTTTATATTGCATTTAGTCAAAGTCATCAACAAAGCTCACTTGATCATTGGCTCTCATCCTTTCAAACACAATGCCCCCCTTTCACTTAAAACAAAACCACAGCTTCCCCCCTTTGGTGTATGGGTGCATAATTGAATTTAAACATTTTAAATTATTTATTTTCAATTGCTATGTGCAAACGTAAGCTTTAACATTTAATTTCTACTTAAAAAACAGTGAAATGGTTTGAAGGTAGTAGGATCCAAATTCACATTTGAACTTCAGTTCATTTAATCTAAGAGTTTGCCTCAACCATTATCTATATGAGCGCTGATGCCACATATTTGCCACAAGCTTTGACATTCTCAGTTTTTTGGAAGAAAGAGCACAAAATGACTTACTTTCACCATCAGGTCTGTAGTGGTGCTTATTTCTGGTCATCAAAAGTGCAGAAAATCCAGCCCTGCACAGTGAAAGCCCTGAAGAATGTATCACCAAGCTCTTAGCTTTTCAAACTGGGAGTCTTATAAACTGCAGTAGACTTCTACCACACAACCTGCTTAAGTTACCCTTTGAGCAAATTCACCTACCGTTGATTTTTACGGAGGTCCTGAGCTGTGCTGTATGTGCTGTACGGTCCTTTGGGCCAACCACACAGGTGACCTCTTCATTACTGGACCTCATCATGTAGAGGTGACTGGAGACGGAGAAGGGACTGTTCTTGTCCTGCTGCCTGGCTGGCTCTGCTGTAAATGTGATGTTTCTTCCTTTCTTATCCATCCAAACCATCTGAGGCTCAGGGTACCAGCCCTGAGAGCTGCACCTCAGCTTCAAAGAGTCTTTCTCAAGCTTTTCAACTTCAATCAGGGGAACAGAGCCTTGGCCTGTGGACAGATTAATTTCACATTCAAACACAACAAGTATTCATAAGTGGATAAGACATGGGCGAGAACAAATGACAGGGCTAACGTCTGTCCCAGTTATAAAAAAGACAAAGGTGTGTATATAATTTTATGTCAGGATTTTCCAGTGTAACTTTTTCTTCTATCCTGAAGTTATGCTGGAATTAGAACTAATTTCCATTATGATTCTTAATTGATATTATTAAAGGGGGAGGGGGCAACAACTAAAATACAAATTAATGGAAACACCATGTGAATCAATATTGTAGATGGTCTGAAGAACTGAATATCATTTTTGAGAATTTAATATAACATAATATGTGATTTGCACTGGATGGAGCGATGACTCTGTGGCTAAGGATCTGTGCCTGTGGCTGGGAGGTTGCTGGTTCAAATCCTGTGGCTAGCAGAGGAATCCTACTCCATTGGGCCCCTGAGCAAGGCCCTTAACCCCAGCTGCTCCAGGGGTGCTGTATAAATAGCTGACCCTGCGCTCTGACCCCCAGCTTCTCTCCCTGTCTGTGTGTTTCATGGAGAGAAGCTGGGGTATGTGAACAGACAAATTCCTCATACAAGAAATTGTACAGGGCTAATAAAGTAATCTTAACTTATGCAGGTTGCGAGAATAAAAACCAGCATTTTTATGTTTACAATGAAAAGCAAGCTCACAAACTTTTATGCAAGGACTGTAGAGCTATGGGTTAATAAACATTAATACTGCTGAAAAGCACACACAGCTGTCTTAATTTAAGGATTCACCGCACCACCTGGCACTTTAGAGAGTAGTGAAGTCCCACGTCAGATTATTTGCCATGACGCAGTGTTGTCTCTGTCATATTGTGGCATTTGCTGAGGTCTAGTGACTGACATCTCACGCCTTCACCTCACACTTTCATGCCTTTAGAATGCAATTCACAATTAATGCATTCGAAATGGCTACATCTGTATATCTGATTTACACAACTCAGCAGCGTGTTGACAATAATAGATGACAAGAACATGGACTCACGTTTAACAGTTAACTGCAGCTGGGGTTCCGCAAACGATTCTAGTCTGCTGACATGACACTTGTAGGGGCCTTCGTCTGAGATCTTGACTTCTTTGAGCAGCAGGGAGACATTGCCTTTCTCCAGCTCTGTACTGAAGAGTGAAGCTCTGCCCTCATAGCCCGATCCTACTGTCTCCATCTTGTCTTTGTACAGATAGACGTATTCACTGAACTTCTGCCTGAACCACCTCACGTGCATGCCTATCACACTGGTCTGAGGTGAGAGTTTACAGGGCAGGACAATGTCGCTGCCCTCATCAGCGACCACAGGGACCAGAGGCACGATGACTTCAAATTTATCTACAGTGGAACAAAGGCAAAACAAGAGTTGGTGTGACATTACTATGTTCTGAACCACACTTGGCATGATTACTGATATGACAGATCTTTAGGACATACATACAAAGCAGAATTCAATAACATAAAAGACCATTCAGTCTGTAGGAGCTAGTTATTATCTATGCTGAGAATTGTGTTTGCCAGTCTTCATTTTCAAAGGCTGCAGCTTCTATGCCTCTGCAAAGTGATGCTAATTCATTCTGTAAAGGATTTTTTTAACATTCTTTGCTAGTTTCTTTAAAAACAGTAGGAGAGAAAGAAGACATTCCATGAAAAAGGAAATTGGCAGGAAGACAAAACAAGAGGATGCACTAATCAGACAGGTTTTAGAGAAAGCACCTGACCACATGATCACTGTGTTAAAATGTTGACTAGCTTTATTTAATTCCATGAAATTGTTTTTAAAAAAAGCAGATAAGACAGAATATTGTTTTCCATCCTGTTTTTGAAAAAATATTTTTGTTTAAAAACTTACTTGTGAATAAAGGACTGGCTGTCTGAAAACTATTAGTAATTTAACTTGAATCTAAAATGAGCAATTTTGTCTGCACCAGACTGATGCTCATCCTTACCTTGCTGAAAAGCTCCTGGGCAGAAGCACACAAGGACAAGTTTAACACAGACACAGATGCTTAGTTTCATGGTGTACCTGTGGAGAAAACCAGTCACCTTCTTTCAGTTTGGGGCTGAATGTTTTCCAAAACCATCAGCTGTAAGGAAACCAATAATCTGATTCAACGCTTTATGAAAATTCAGTTGTTGTGTTTTCATGACTGTGAGTAGACAGTAAGTCTATTATCATTAAAGTCTCCCTTCACCATCTTTTGATAAGGATATATTGAAACAACTTGTCACACAGTGTTATTTTAATAGGTAAATATGAAGAACTTTTGAATTCACAATATACAGTATGTGCAAATATGGACTTTTAAAGTATCTTCTAAGCCAATATCAAACCGATTGAAGACTGTAAAATTGTCAAACATGAAACAAATAAAAATAATACAATTACTGAACTGAAAGTTGATTTGATCA